GAATATTAACAGATCATCTACCAAAATATATATGAGTAATTTCCAATGGCTTACATCTCTGGGGATGGAAAGGGATTTGATTAGTGAGGGTAGCCTACTTTAGCGAACAAGAGAAGGATTTCATTACCACAACAAAAGGGATGGCGACGATGTATCTCTCTGATGAATGCCTTTCTTCATATCAAATTTTCCACAAAGATCTCCATTTAGAGCCAGTCTAGCCATAGGAGCTGTCACACAAGCTTTAGCTAAAGCTACAAACCGAGAAGGGAACCCCATTGCACTCAAAACTTGAAACAAATAAGACCAATCAACTTAGTCGAATGTCTTCATGAGGTTAATTTTGTTTGTGCATCTTTGGGTGATAGCAATTTTACGATAATCCTTCACTATTTCATAAGCTAACAGGATATTGCCGCTAATAAGTCTTCCATTAATGAAATTCGAAAGTGATGGAATTATTTTAGTAGGAAGGACAACAACAGCTTTATTAGCAAAAATTTTCAAAATCCCTTTTTATTGTGCTCCAACAACAATTGGCCGAAACTCTTTCATATTCACAACATTTTGATTTATATAATGTCGAGTTTACCTCTTTTGCCATGTGGATACAATAGGAAAAGTGTAGAACCGCAACCTCTAACTTCCTTACCAACCACCTCCTAGTCACCCTTGAAGAATTCAACATGGAAATCATCTGGCTCTGGGACTTTATTAATGCTCTAATGAAAACACTTTCTAATCTCTAATTTAAAATAATTGGAATCAAGCTTAAGTTGCAACAAGCACCTTGTATTTACACAACATTTCCTTTGCAATCTGAGCATGATGACATTCATCGGCTAGCAAACTTTCTTTTGTTATCAACTCTTCAAATGGACTACTTAACACGTAACCAATAAATCAGAATATTCTAAATGATTTAGCTACCTAAGTCTTTTTCGTAAACTCTTAGATCTTGTCATAAAGAATGTTAAAGGGGAACCCTGAAATCTGAGTATCTCATGCCACTTTCATTAAGTCTTGATAGGAAGAATGCAATCTCCAAAGATTGAAGTATTTAAAGGGTTTAGGGAGGTTTTGAGTGGGAGGAGTATTTTAGTAAAATACCATGTAGCAATCATCGTAGCTTTGAGATGATTTGATTTCCTAGGAGTAGTTCTCTTCCTTGATTTAGCATATATGGTAGCAAAATGATCTAGTGCTTCCTCTGCAGCCAACTTTGTGATATCACCTTTGATTAGGAATGGCAATTGGCAAGTCTGGGCGGGTTTTTTGGTACCCAGACCCGCCCCGTGACAGGTCGGGTCCAGGTCGGGTAATTTTTCATGGGTCCCAGGTCGGGGGCAGGTCGACCTAATGGGTATGCAATTTATATGAAGAACATTAGAAATATTCGTTATTTTTATTATAAGACCAAGAAAACAAACAATATTATGATAAATGTAGTTAAATTATTAGAGAAATTGAGGTTTTCACTAATTTACAACTTTATTATAGCTAAATTATGATGTAATAAAAGAAAATTCCTAAGTAATTTGACTAAGATTACATGTAATTTAGGCAAGAACGGGTCGAAAATGGGGCGGATCAGGGCAGGTCGGGTCGATGAGAGTACCCATGCCTGCCCCGCCCCAAAACAGGCCAAACATGTTGGGTAAAACGGGTCAGGTCGAAATTGTCATCCCTACCTTTGAATTATTAATTAATGATTATGATAGTATTCTCGTCTTATCATCTTGTCAATATGTCTGCAATATACTCATGTTCAAAGACATGGTGCAACACATCCTCAAGTAACCTTGGAATCTCCTCCAAAAATCATAGAGAGATTCAAAGTAGGTTTGTAGAAAATGCGAGATTTATTCCTTAAGCTTGTCTGTCCTCAAAGGAGGGGAGAACTCTTTTGTGAATGATTGAGAGAGGTCGTACCAGGTTGTGAACGTGTTTGGAGGATGGCTACCTAGGAAAAAATCCCAAAGTACACTAGTTTTTAAAAAAATTTCCCAAAATACATAAGTTTTAAAAAAAATTCCAAAAGTACACATGTTTGAGCATCACCGTTTTAGACAAAAACGGTGAAGGTCATCACCGCTTTTGACCAAGACGGTGAATACTTCATCGTTTCAAACTAAAACGGTGAAGGGTTCACCGCGTTTGTTAAGAACGGTGAATACTTCACCGTTTTAAACAAAAACGGTGAAGCCTTCATTTGAATTCCAAGTATTTTGATAACTCTAAATGGTTCTCCTCGTCGATACGATCGCGCTGCCGAAAACGGCTCGTCATTTCGACCTCAAACGAATAAGATACGCGCGTTTTAGTTTTTAGTACGCAAAAGTTACTTTAACGACATGTGCAGCTTTGAACTCACTTATCTCACTCGTTTGGACTCGGAATTGAGATCTGTAAAATTCTATGTGATCGTGGTTGATTTTCCCAACCTTTTTGTGTTGAGGGAAGATAATGATTCTTGATAAAATGATCCAGAATATTCATTCGACAACTTAAGTGCGTAGGATAGTTTTTAGACAATGCAAACTCAAATAACAACACCTAAAAATCACAAAAACAACATTGATAGTTCACTACAATGATAAAATGATAAATTCACTCATTTGCTTCATTTTGGCCCCTATCTCCACCTCTTCCTCCTCGTCCTCCACGACGTCCTCGACCCCTTCTTCCCCCCTCCGCCACTGCTTCTTGGCGGGCTCGCTCAACGGCTGGTCGCGGATTTCTCTTGACCCGAGCCCCAACTGGGGTTACATATGGTGGTGGTGGTGGCTGAGTTGGACCGGTAGCTTGACGAATGATCGGGGGATTCGGAGTTTGTTGTTGCGGAAGTTGGAATTAAGAGAACCCATGATGTTGTTACATATGGTTCTCTCAATTCCAACATCCGCAACAACAAACTCGTGGAGGACGAGGAGGAAGAGGTGGAGATGGGGGCCAAAATGAAGCAAATGAGTGAATTTATCGTTTTATCATTGTAGTGAACTATCAATGTTGTTTTTGTGATTTTTAGGTGTTGTTATTTGAGTTTGCATGGTCTAAAAACTATCCTACGCACTTAAGTTGTCGAATGAATATTCTGGATCATTTAATCAAGAATCATTATCTACCCTCAACACAAAAAAGTTGGGAAAATCAACCACGATCACATAGAATTTTACAGATCTCAATTCCGAGTCCAAACGAGTGAGATAAGTGAGTTCAAAGCTGCACATGTCGTTAAAGTAACTTTTGCGTACTAAAAACTAAAACGCGCGTATCTTATTCGTTTGAGGTCGAAATAACGAGCCGTTTTCGGCAGCGCGATCGTATCGACGAGGAGAACCATTTAGAGTTATCAAAATACTTGGAATTCAAATGAAGACTTCACCGTTTTTGTTTAAAACGGTGAAGTATTCACCGTTCTTAACAAACGCGGTGAACCCTTCACCGTTTTAGTTTGAAACGGTGAAGTATTCACCGTCTTGGTCAAAAGCGGTGATGACCTTCACCGTTTTTGTCTAAAACGGTGATGCTCAAACATGTGTACTTTTGGAATTTTTTTTATAACTTATGTATTTTGGGAATTTTTTTTAAAAACTAGTGTACTTTGTGATTTTTTCCGGCTACCTAGTCATGCCCTGACCTTTGCGAATAGGGAGAAAAGGAAGAGAAGCAGCCTAATCACCTCTTTTTTGGTTTCTTGACCCTAAAATGAGTTGTGGGTCTCTGAGGGTGTCTTTACACATGATGTCAGATTGTCATTGTCTCTTTTGACAAATAGCAAAAACTTGTTGTATCATTTGGATCAGGAACGTCTGTAGCTCAATGGTGGTGCCGGTGGAATGAGGCATTGGGTCGCTAGTTTCTCTACTATCTATGGATCTTCTCCCCCCATTCAAGATCTTGTGGTGTAGTGTTTCTTGTTTATTTTTTCGGGGTCTACATTGTTTGTGGACTTGAGCTGTGACCACATTCATCATGAGATCAACTTGTTTATGAAGGACCATCGATTCATGGTGGGGTATGATGCTAGAGTGGTTGACTATCCGAGAATGTTGTATGATATGTCAGCGAACGATTTCGATTGGACACCATACAAAGGAGTTGTTTGAGCATTGTTAGACGATCCAGGGTGCCACCAAGTAATTACAATCTCAATTTAAATCCTAAAATCTAACAATTTTAGTATCTTACTTATCAGTTCTGATCCTTATTTCAATGTAAAATCCATGAACTTTAAAACCCTATATTATTCACAGCTAAATCCTTAAAATTTGGTTTTTCATAGGGTTTTAATGATTTTAAGATTTGGGTTGAATTGTTGAATGTGGACCATGTCAAACCGAGTTAACATAATAAGACAAAATCCTTGGATCAACTTTCCTTCATTTGCCCCAAATTAGTGAAACCTAATGCCTTTTTTTTCCTTCTCCTCCATCAAAATTATAATGTTCTCTCTCGTCGACCACTAGCGGTCATCATCAACCCAAATCAAGTCATTAATCATCATCGATTCACCACTTACCAAAAATCATGATCGTCGACCGACGGTCGCCTGCCAATACTTTTCAATATCTTGCTCATCACAACAACTATTAATTCATGAATGAGAAGTCATGTATTAGCAATCATTTAGTTATAGTTTTTATCGCTTTTTCGTAGTTCTTTGTAGTTAAATTATCTTCAAATTTGACAGGTTCAACGCGTGAAACCAATCACACGTAAAGAAAATTGAGTCACAAAACAAAATATGATACTTTAGCAAGTGGCCCAAGTAGGGATGACAACGATTCAGGACTGAGGGATAGTGTATACGACTCACTCATACTCATATCCCACACAAAGCGTCGGGTACAATATCAAAATCATATTCATATCTGATCGGATCTAGGATATCCAAGGTTGTACATGAATTATAATTTCTTCATAATTTCAACCAACATGTTAATTAAAAACAAAAGAGTTAAACAAATTCAAATTGAAAAGTAAGAAAACCATATTCAGATTTACTCATAGTCATATCCATTAAAAAATCCATGAATATGGATATTTGTTACCATCCTGCCCGAGAGTGGGTACAATACAAGACCAGTTAATATTAAACATCTAATCTGCTGGTACTAGTTCATGGCCAGAGTCGATTTATCTTTATGGATATGGCAGCTGCTCACTAAGTGGCTTCTCGATCCCAATCCCCCATCTGAAATGGCTTCTTGAAATTTAACTTCAACCAATTGCACATAAAATTCACTTGAAATGAGTTCATCACCCTGTTTAACCTTAAATAAAATACCATACATATATATTGCCTTATTGCTTTCTTTCACTAGCATGTAAATATACATATGCATTCTAAGTAAACCGAATTCTTGAGAAAATTGTAGCAGAAGTATGAGGGGCCATCAGAACTTTTTAATTGATATCGTCCACAGGAGATCCGCATCCGACTCCACCGTAACCTTTTCTGCTTTCACTATGTTTGATGTACTTACTAGACCACCAAACCTCATCTCCGCATCATCTGTTGGACAGCAACAAGAAGAAAACCATAGAACAGTTGTTAGAGCAATATCAATCTGATGCAGGAAAGTAACCTAGAGGAAGGGCTACAAAGTCAAGAAAAGAAAGAGCAACCAATCACGGATTTCTTGGTTCTAACAGTCATTTGCATACTATTCGGAATATGCTCTCAACGCCAAGGGAGGGATGTCTGTCATCAAATCACCCAAAGGCGAAAAACGTAGCACGACCGTAATCTAAAAGATGAAACAAGCCCTTTTGAATGTTTAGCCTTCTGTGGTCCTTTTCCTTGTCTTCCTTTTAGACAAGGTTCCAAGAGAAAATAACATAGTTTCCCTGTTCTTTTCATACAATGTCACCGTTCTTACGGCTGAACCTAACAGATCCTACAGAGGTTTCACAAGCAAACAGAAAGGAGGGTTGGTACTCACTGAGGTCCCACTGAAGGCCTGTTGTTGTAGTTCTCCTGGATGGCATCCCCATGGGAACGAGTCCACAATGCGGTCCCTCAGCAGAGAAGTTTACATGTATTTCATGACGGTGAGTTTTTGGAAGCAGGTAAATGAGGCAATCATCAGATAGAAGGGTTATCCGCGTGGTTGAGAAACGGTGTAGGACATTGATGTTACCAGCTTCATGGTCAAACCGCCCTCCAAGTGCCCCAGTTACGAGGATGCAGAACTGCAAAATTAGAGACTCCATAAAGATTGTCATCTTCCCCTAAATCCCAAAGTTGAAGGTACTTTTCATCTCTCAAAATAGAGAGATTTCAGAATTACTCCCATGAACATCACTGGTGAAGCTCATTTAACAACATACTGCTTTCTTTCATAAGCAGTACGCATTTTACTTCGTGGCCATGCGAAGATGAGAGTATTCATTGGTACAAAAGAGAGAAGAAGAAAAAAAAGTACTCGTTAGGATTTACTAACCGATGACTTATCAAGATTTGGCATGACACCATTAATATAAGCTATGCACTTGTGCAGGTCAGTGGTATCTTGATCATCAGACTCATCAACTACATCAGTTCCCTGAAACCAAGCAGGTAAGACAGGCAGACAGACAGACAAACAGACGATCAAAATGCTAGCTCGAGACTCATCAGAAGAGGTGCTCCCAGAAGCTGACCCGAATTACATCCCTATGAGATTGATAGCAAGGAAGTGGCTCAACTTACCAAGTCGCTGTAAAAGTTAAGTACTTCAGATCGTACCGAATCCATATCCCCTTTGATTACATCTGGTTTGAACCTGTTAGCACAGTTCACAAACAACCATCAGGAGGGCTCAACAGCCCGCTTTAATAACCAGACACCGCCTTAACTTCAACAAGAAGCAAGGGTCTAATTCGCACGGTTCGAACTAAACCTAGAAAATGTCCCAATGCTAGCAAGGTTTCTCAAGTGAAGAAAATCGGAAAACTGCCCTAAAGAGACCAGAAACCAGAGATTCTCTCTCAGCAGGCAAATGCAATAGGCATTGAAGCAAATGGAGATCCCCCTCCTTTGTTGCAACGCCTTAAAAGCAACGATTCGAATGCCTGGTTAATGCAAGAAACCAGAATGAAGAAACAGTTTAGTTACCTGCGGCGAACATGGGCGGCGTCTTCGTTTGGGAAGAGAAGAGGCATATCGTCATAGACCCGATTGGCTCCTCCATCGGCGCAAACTCGAACTTGTGCTGCTCTACGCACGAAATACAACTCCATCTAACAAACAAGAATCACAAGACTCGCGGCTACTTGGAACGCCGAAGTTGAAGGGAGGAAGGAAAGGTAAGAGTTGAGTACCGTGTTCCCAGAGCAGAGGAGTGAATTTAGGGAGGCGCTGGTTGAGAAGGACGAGGGCGTAGGTTAGAGAACGGCGGTGGTCGTCTCCGGCTGAGGTACTCGGAAGAAGGAAGGAAGAAGAATGGATCATCAGGTCCATGGTAGTTGCTGGTGGCGTCTGAGCCTACAAATTCGACGGTCGAAAGGGAATTTGGAGGTTGCCGAACAACAGCCAAACCTTCCAAATATATATATTTTCAGCGGCGGGTATTTTCCCATTCTGCGGAAACCCAAAACGGAGTTTTAAGCTAAAGAAGAGCGAGAGGTTGATCATTGAATATTTGATTAATCGAGTTCGAACCGTTAAAAAAACGGCATTTCATGAACAATCATCAATTTAAGCTGAATGCACATACTGACATAATAATAATAGACCTCATTTACAATAATCTATTCATTTTTTAATTTTATTTATACCTAAAACCGTAGACTCAGAATCCTAATCTAATAACTAATATGAAGGAAAAGTCCCTATTTTCGGCCTCATGTGCCATTGATGGGTAGTTGTCGCCTGTCGGACGTCGGTCACCTTAGTCCTTCTTAGGGTGATTAGTCCGCGATTTAAATCGATCCACCCACAAATAATTCGAATTGTTGTGGGTGAATTGCGAATGGATCAATCTTCTATCTGTACTTAGTTGGGTGAGTGGAGATGGATTGTGGGTCACCCGAATGATTCGCACCATATTTTCACATAACAATAGATTGTTAATTGTTTATAGGGTTAATACATTTGTTTGGTCCGAACTATAGGCGAACTTTCTACTTTGGCTCGTGGTATCGGAAATTGCTATTCTGGCCTAAACTATGTAGCATACTTTCTTATTTGGTTCGGAGGCGGGTTTGACGTCAAATTAGACGGTCAACCAAGTTGACCGTTAGTCAAGGTCCACCTCACTTGCCACGTCAGCTATTAGGGAATAAAAAATTAATTTTAAATTTTGAAATTTTGAACTTTTTTACTTTCTAATAATAAAAATAATAAATGAAAAAAAATAATTAAAAAATCTCCCCAAATTATTTTAATTAATTTTAGAAAGTAAACAAAACTCAAAAATTAAAAAATTAATTTTTTATTCCTTGATAGCTTACGTGTCAAGTGAGATGGACTTTGACTAAAGGTCAACTCGGTTGACCGTCTACATTGCCGGTCAAACCCGCTTCCGGGCCAAATAGGAAAGTATACTACATAGTTTAGGCCAGAATAGCAATTTCCGATACCACGGGCCAAAGTACAAAGTTTGTCTATAGGTCGGGCCAAACTAAGGTATTAACTCTTGTTTATACTATGGAATAGTCATCATATTTCTACACTGCACTACACACTAACCATCAAAACTTAAATGCAAAGTTTCCGCCCGTGATATGAATTACCATTTACCACCCCCCGATCACTGTCACTACCCCAAACATATGACTGCATTTTTCAACTGAAATGAAAAATTACGACCGAAATTGAATTGTACATTCAAAATAACCCTAAGAAGACATGATCCCAAGCGGAGTAAAGAAAACTTTGATGAAAATACTACATGATCCACGGGAGAGAATGTGAGAAGTATCTAAATTGTTATAGTCTTACTAATTTGTGAGGAACTTATTCTAAATATTAGCTGGATTTTTTATTAACTAGTTGGAGAATCAGGTTTGCGCATTAACCCACAACCCAACCACACTCATCCACCACCCACCCAACCCAACTCGAAGAAGAATGTGCATCTGATAGAGCCCCGGATTCGGCTCTACCGAGAGATTGGGGATTTGGGATCAATTAGGGATTGATCCGGGGTTTATGAGACTTGGGGAAAGGAGATTTGGAAGGAGTTGTAGCAAGGAGAAGGGAGGGAAGAAGGCTGCCGATCGGCAGCTTGGTTGGGAGAGGGAAGGGGTCGGCGCAGAGAGGGAGAAAGGGAGAGAGAGGGAGTTGAGTTTTTAGGTTTAATCCTTTTCTGCCTCTTCCTACATAAACAATAGTCTAAATACCAAAACACAATTACCTACTAACTACCCCAACTTATTAATCCCCCAAATTATTCCCAATGCCCAAAATAATCCCAAACTGAATAATTCAAACCGACATAAATTCCCAAATAATTAAACGTCTATCATTCCCTTCCCCTTCAAAACAACCTTGTCCTCAAGGTTGGTAGCCTTCTCCTGCTTCTTCCCCTTCTCTCGCCTCATCCTCTGCCTCGTCCTCCCACCTTCCCACCAGCATCATCAAGTCCGGACGTGCACACTTGTGACCGATCGTGAACCGCTCGTCACAGTTGAAGCACTTCCCTTTCCGCCTCTTCTGCTCGATCTCTGCAGGAGATAGTCGCACAAACCCCTTGGGTGGCGGTCGCGCCCCACCCTTCGTCGCGGTCCCCGGTGCCTGTGCCACCATAGATCCCCCGGCTCCCGCAGTAGCTCCCGCTGCTCCTCCTCCACTGCCGCTCCCGCTACTGCTCCCGGCGCCACCGACCCGTGGATAGCGGCCTATGGTGCTCCTCCAACTCGCAAGCTCCTCCTCCTTGTATCATGCAAGACGAAAAGCAGATTTCAAGGAATCCGGCTCGAAGACCCGGACAGCAGCAGCAATCTCCGGCTTCAGGCCCGCCATACACAGACCCACCAGTGTCTCCTCTGGGACCCCATGGCATTGATTGCCCAATTTGAAGAACTCTGCACGGTAATCCGCAACGGAGCCGGTCTGTTTCAGTTTGGCCAACTGCTCTGGAGCCCACCCCTCCGATTTACCGAACTGGTAACGCAGCTCCTCCTGGAACAACGGCCAGGTGATCAAGGTTCCCACCGCCCCATAGGACCTCTCCATCCACTCCTACCACTGAAGCGCCTCTCCCTCTAAGTAGAAGGACCCCAGATGCGCCTTCCTCTCCTCCGGAATGGGGTGATTTCTGAACCACCTTTCTGCTGCATACAACCACAATCCGGCATCCTCCTGACCATTGAATTTTGGGAACTCAATGGTGGGGGGCTTGGCTCTAAAAACCATCCCATCAGTCCACTCATAGGCAGGGTGATATGAACCATACCTGTCATAACCGGAAGCACCCCCTAGCTGGTCCTGGTAGAACGGTGTCCCTCTTCCTCGCCCAAAACTGCCTGCGGAACCTCGCCCCATCGGACCCGTCCCGTTCCCTGCACCATACGACCCGCGCCACATGTTTGGGTCCATACTGGCCGACCTGACCAACCCCGGCTTGAACTGGTTCGGTCCACTTCCGGTCCGGCCCGATTCGGGTTCACCCGGCATCATGCGACCCGGTCCGACTCGCCCTGGTTCACCCCGACCTGACCCAAACTGGGCCGGTCAGTCCCTGGTCGGTCCGACCTGTTGACCTGCCACCACGACCCAGCCCACATCCACCCGGCCCAACTCGCGCGGCTCGCCCCCCTATCACGTCCGGGCCCAAGTGGCCCCCTGTCATGTCCGGGCCCCAGTAGTCCTCGCCACCATCCGGGTCAGCCCATGGTGCACTCTGGCCCACCAGGCTGAGCTCCTCCTCGATCCGCTCGGGGTCCATAGTCAACCACCCCAGTCCTCTGGCCCATTGGCCTAGGGGGGCCCTGCCCAGTCGGCTGGGCCCCGTTGTCGTACCTTGGCATCTTGGCCTTGCCCTTGCGGGCCGCCAATTCCTAGGCCGTTGGTGTTGGTAAAAGCCCAGGCCCACCGCTGCGCCCTGGTTGGCCGTGGCCCACTCGCTCACCGGCGCCGGGCAGGTTGCCCCCACCGCCCGCGGACACCCCCTCCGCCGCCTCTACCACCACGACAGCCGCCGCCGCTGGCGGCGCTTCCGCTACCACCATTGCCCCCTTTCGCGCGTCGCCTGCAGCCGCCGCAGCGCTCGCCTCCGCGCCCCCATCCGCCGGCGAGCCTCCCGGCCCGCTCTGGTTACCACCCCCTTCACCGCCGCCGCTGTTATTCTTCGGCCCGGTGGTGTGCGCGGCGGCCAGTGCCTCCACGATCCTCTGCACCTCGTCGAAGCGCTTCCAAACTCTCCGGGACTCCTCCTCCTGTACGCGCCGCTGCTCGCCTTGTTCGCGCCGGACAGCCCGCCATTCCTTACGTTCTTCCTCGAACTCGGCTACCAGGCGATCCAAGGTGGTCTGGATTAGCTCCAACTTCTCGGTCTCATCCACCAGTTCCCCGTCCCGCGGATCGGAGGCCCCATGGTTGCCGCCGCCAGCTCCCGGCAGCCCGATCGAGGCCGTGATCGAGGCTTGCTCTTGCGCCGACGCTTTGGCGGCCTTCTCAGCTGCTTGCATCGATTTCGTTGACACCATTGCACCTTTCGTTCTTTGTTCGTATCCTAAGTTCCTAACCCAAGAACCGGGCTCTGATACCAATTGATAGAGCCCCGGATTCGGCTCTACCGAGAGATTGGGGATTTGGGATCAATTAGGGATTGATCCGGGGTTTATGAGACTTGGGGAAAGGAGATTTGGAAGGAGTTGTAGCAAGGAGAAGGGAGGGAAGAAGGCTGCCGATCGGCAGCTTGGTTGGGAGAGGGAAGGGGTCGGCGCAGAGAGGGAGTTGAGTTTTTAGGTTTAATCCTTTTCTGCCTCTTCCTACGTAAACAATAGTCTAAATACCAAAACACAATTACCTACTAACTACCCCAACTTATTAATCCCCAAATTATTCCCAATGCCCAAAATAATCCCAAACTGAATAATTCAAACCGACATAAATTCCCAAATAATTAAACGTCTATCAGCATCATAATTATACAACTCACTAATATGCTGGTGGGTCAAGTTGAAATCGAAACTCACCCAACTCGCCTATTGGCCACCTCTAGTCCTTCTCCTCTTCTATTCTCTTCTTTTCCTAATCTCCTAATTCTTCCGCTTCCACCCTTTGTGACCAAATTATTTGGGATATATGATGCAAAGTCGTCTCTGCTACGTTAAGTTTGAAATGGTGAATGGAGGACATTACAGTTTTGTACATGCCTAAACTCAAGAGCCTGAATCTGAAGGGATGCAAAAGTCTAGGCACTGAACTATTAAGCCTAAAATTATTTATACTGGAGTCTTTAATTTCAAGGTCTATTGGATTAACTTTTTACCATGTAATAATAAACTTATGATTAGGATTGACTCTCATGCCTGCACTCCAACATGAAGATAGACAAGTTTCAATACTATTAGTATATTTTCTTAAAATATTTATGATACCAGCTGTTGCAAGCTATGTCAAATTATATTTAAATTTGTATTTCTTGTAATAACAACTTCGAGTAAATTGCAAGATTGGTCACTGGAAGTACTAAAACATTCACGTTTGGTCACTAAAAGTATTTTATTCTATTTATGGTCACTAAAAGTAGTTTTTCTGCTCAACTTTGATCACTCTTCGTTAGTCTCCGTTAAATTTAGCTGATGTGGCGGTCAACTTTGATAGTTGACCGTTAAACAAATGACGTGGCAATTAACAAAAAAAAATTCAACTTTTACAATTTCCACCTCATTTTCATAACTATTTACAAATACAAAATTTCTTTCTCCACCACCTCCGCCCTCTTCTTCGACAACCACTAGGTAGGTTGAGGCGTCGTCGTCCAGACCATCCCCGTATCAGGCATCATCCCGACCTCAGATGGGAATGCGTTCAAATCCTCGCTGGAGGACTCGGTGCTCCCTGTGGCGGCACTGCCTCCTCCTCCGCTCCCTCCGCCGCCGCCAAATGCCACGTTCATGGCTGCACCGCGCAGGAGGGCTGAGGTACTGGTGGTGGGACCCGTGGATGTGGTGGTGATGCAGAGAAAGAAATAATGGAGGTGGAGGTAGCTGGAGCGTGTGGACCAGATGACCTCCTCCACTGTCGCGCTGAGATCCGGGGATAGACTCGCCGTACCCGTCGTAGACGTTTCCCCCCACGATGGCCGCTTGGTTGCAGAGACACTCCTGGTACCTAACCACGGTCGGCGATGCCGAGTTGGCTTTAATGGTGGTGGAGTTGTTAGATCCGCCGCCACTGTTGTCGCGGTGGTGGTGATCTAGGGTATGGGAGTAACCGAGGAATGTCGAGTTGCCATTGTGATTCCCGTCACCTCTTCTTCCACCACCTCCGCTTGACATTCTCACATCATTGTCCTCCACTTGCCCTCTCATTTCCATGACCATTGGTCCCCTCAATTTCTCCGCAGAAGAAAAAAAACCCAAACAACTAAGGAAGAAGCTCCTCTTGACCTCTTCCAACCAACTAGGGATGGCAACAAAACTCGAACCCACGGGTACCCATTCGATCCAACCCGGTCAACGCGGGTAAAACCCGTGTTGACGGGTTTTTGGGTCGGGTTTGGGTTTAAATCCTACACTATTCATCGGGTCGGGTTAGGTTTGGGTTTAGGTAAACCCGCCCCATGGGTACCCGCCCACACACATATAATTACTTCCCCGGTATATTTATTATTCTAAATAATATATCTTCGTTAAACAACTAATATTCTTTATGTTTGTGGAGACATTTATGTTTGTGGAGACATGTATAATTTGTTCTTTCTAATTGTTTAGAATGAAGTTGATATTATGAAGTGGAGAGTGAAGAAACTTAGTTGACGAGGAAGAAGTTTTCAATTAATCTTATTGTTTATAGATGTTTATCTTTAATTTCGAACAATTTGTATTGATCATTTGCGGTTTGCTTGTATGCTCTAGATTGATGTTTTTTGTATGAATAATTTGTATGAGAAAAGTGATGATAAACTTTTATTTTGAAAGAAACTTGTTATTGTAAATTTTTTACCACAAAAACCCACGGGTACCCATGAACCCGCGGATACCCAGCGGGTTGGGTTGGGTTTGAGTTTTTCAAACCCAGCGGGTCTTACCCCGGGTTTTTTTTTACGGATAAACCCATGGGTTTGGGTTTGTGTTTGACAAAACCCGCCCCAACCCGACCCATTGCCATCCCTACAACCAACCGACCAATCATGATGACTAGTAGTGTAGGAATATATTTATTTTTTAATAGTAAATAAAATGAGGTGGAAATTGTAAAAATAATTATTTTTTATTTTTAAATTATCGCATCACTTATTTAATGGTCAACTATCTAAATTGACCGCCACATCAGCTAAACTTAACGGAGACTAAAGGAGAGTGACCAAACTTGAACAGAAGACTACTTTTAGTGACCATGAATGGAATAAAATATTTTTAGTGACCATATGCGAATTTTTTAGTACTTCCAGTGACCAACTTGCAATTTACCCTAACAACTTCCGTGGGTTAATTGCATGGTTGGTCACTGAGATTACAAAAACGTTCACGTTTGGTCACTAAAAATATTTAAATCCAATCTTGGTCACTCAAATTATTTAAATGGTTCAAGTTTGGTCACTCTCCGTCCATTTCCGTTAACTCTAGCTTACGTGGCTGTCAACTTTCATAGTTAACCGTTAAATATGTGACGTGGCAATTAAAAAATTATTAAAAATAAAAAAATAATCTTTTACATTTTCCACCTCATTATTACACTCGAGGAGAGTGGTTTTGGTGCTGGACCAGTGGATAAAAAATATATTTTTTTTGTTTTTTAATTAATGTAATAATTAGGTGGAAAATGTAAAAGATTATTTTTTTATTTTTAATAATTTGTTAATTGCCACGTCACATATTTACCGGTTAACTATGAAAGCTAGAGTTAACGGAAATGGACGGAGAGTGATCAAACTTGAACCATTTAAATAATTTGAGTGACCAAAATTGAATTTAAATATTTCCAGTGACCAAACGTGAACGTTTTTTGTAATCTCAGTGACCAACCATGCAATTAACCCCAACTTCCGTTGATGGAAAAAATTTGCGTAAAAAGCACAGTTAATTTTCCTCGACTTTGCAAGTTGCATTTCCTTGGTTTTCAATACAATTTTTTATTAACCATAAAAAAAAAATTCACCTTGCATTATGGTTGATTTAATATTTTAGCGAAATGATAAATGACATTATAGTAAAATCAGTGTTCAACCGAGTTAGGGTATTACATTACCTGTCAGGAAGACTACTAAAAAACTCATTGGCGAGAAGGACGCATCCATCTAATTACAGATCCCCCTGCCAACAACAGTAATACATTGTGCCTTCTGTGCAACAATTTTCAACCAAAACAAGCGGGAGTTTGATGTGCAAAATCAACAATGAACGAATGAATTTATCAATTACACTCTACTCTTTACTACATCCACGAAATAGGGAGCAGCCTGTGGTGGTTATGTAATCCGAAACCAATCTCTATCACAACTTCCTGCTGCGGTTCAACATTGTCGAATTCTCCATCGTCGCCATCTCCTCCGGAGAGGGCTTCCTGTATTTCCCCAACACTTTCTGTCGGTGTCTACCCTTCATCCTCCTAAGCTTGTCCTTGCTCTGTTGCTTCCTCTTCTCTTTCTGCTGATTCCGCATGCTCCTCTCCTTCTCATACATACCTTGCCAGAAGATTTCGCCAGTGGAAGGCCACAACCACCTCTTGCTAGGGTGGTCTGAATCTGCCTCCTCGGCCAGTTCCTCGTCCATACTCTTCAATGTGGCAAATGAAAACCACTTCGTCCACATTTTGCCCCTCCTGCTCTGCATGCTGTGCTGCTCATGCATCACTCCAGTCTCTGGGTTTACATACACCATATGTCTAGCACTGTGGTATGCCCACACGTTGACAAGAAGCTCGAGAATCCGAGAATAGCAATGCTTGTCCTGCAACAATAATGTATATCTGGTTATCCATCTTTCACAGGTTCAGTCCACTGCTATCCTATAACTAGAGGTGGCAAAAATCAACCAACCTCTGCAAACCAACCCACTCAATTACAAAAGAGTATAATAATTAATAACACCCCCAGAAGAGAGTATAATAATTAATAACTGACAGCTGACAGCTGACGGAAATACTCTCCACCCCAATTTTCAAGACAATACCAGCAACCCATCTTAGACCAATCCACAAACCCACCGACACGACCGATTGCCACCTCTACATATAATAACCAACTCAGCTGGGCATGCGACTCCACAAACTATTATTGAGCTACGGCATTTACCTTGTATAAACTCAAAAAACAGCGTCCACTTTGACGGTGTTCATCATACATTTCTGCATCCAGAGCATCCACGAACATTCTGCTAGTTCAAAATAATACATGATGAGCAACAAACTCGACAGATTGTGATTGAAGTTAAGAATGAAAAACATCAAGATAACAGCATTTGGACAGCCAACAGGAGGACTGTACTAACCTTGAGAACATCACAAACTCCAGGAAGGATCTACTTGGCATAGCCCAACTCGACATGACAGACCAAGTATCGCCATCTACAGGCATCGTCGGCAAGGAATCAAGGTCCCCTTTGATACCATACATCTTGCTCAGGGCCTTAGAGAAAGCCAACCTTCAAACCACCAACCGACAAAAGTTGTTGATGAATCAACTATCTAGGTTGGTTCACATGATAATGAATAATCTGATGGTTTAGATCTCTTACTTGCAATTTCCTGCATTTATGGCATCACAGAAGGACCAAAAGTCCTGTTGTATGTGATTTCTTGGATCAGTGTCCATGCGAACCCAAAAGAAGAGTGTGTCTCCATACTTTCGTGATTGAATAGCATCTAACAACGCATTTTCTGAAACCTTAGACAAAGATGCCTGTTCATAGTCCAAAAAGTAGAGCAAGCATCAGAACCGTAACTAAAAACGGCACAAGCTCGACTTGTGTCACTTGCATTGCAGCCAAAGATGATTCCAAGTTTCCTTTTGTTTTCACTATTCTAATTTTTCCACGAGCAGAGTATCTAGTACTAAACATTATGGTGAGTATTGTCATGTGGTCCAAATGGAGAAGCAGCATTGAAATAGAGTTTTTTAAGCTTGATTTAGAGCTTTCAGTGAGTATAAATATTATTAGAGCAACTCATACGCTGAGCAGCATGTGATATTTTGAAACTTAATGCCACGATCATGCCTACACAGCCCAGCTACTGCCAAAGTAGTTCCAGATAATGCAAGTGGCAAACAAAAACCAGAAACTATAGCAGAGGAAAAACATATGCAGTCACTGCTGCTGTACCTTTCTTGCAGTTGCTCTCCAAGAATGGAACCCTATCCAAGCATTCTTATGAACACGGTCAAAACGATTTGCAATTGCAAAAAAGGCTCCATATTCATTGAGGGTATCTCGGTAGTAAGGGTCATTCAGAAGTTGTAGACGAGCTGGTGCGTCAATATCATCTGTCATAGGTCTTCTCCCTTTTGTAGACTGGAAACATGAGAATAGGCCAATTATGAACAAGAAACAAAGTGCCATTTCCCATCAAAGAAAAATAAGTGGAAGCTTGGAATATAATACACATTAAACTCACCAAGCCTATCCCACGATAAAGTGATTGACTGTGCAGAAAAGACCACGTCCCTTCTCCAAAGTACGGTTCATAAATGCATAAAGGTTGACCTGTTCTCTCAAGCTCTCCTTCATCCCTTTCTCGTAAATCATTCTTAACCCGGTCAGCTCTTCTGGCACTACGGTATACTTCCTCCCATGTTCCACGAGGCTGGTCAGTACGGTCTTTCAGCTGCATAAAATAGGGACTTAATAACATCCAATCAATAAGACAACTAAAGGAACACGATTCCCAGGATTGTACAAGGACACTTACTTCTTCTTCTTCTCTTCTCTTTCTACTATGGAGTATCTGCTCAGTTTTCTGGTCTACCCAGATTTCATAGATAAATGAATCATCAGGACCACCTGTAGAGCCAGAAACCTCCATATGTGTATGGTTCCACAGCTCCTCGTAGCTATCCAAGAATCTAGAACTCTTCAATGCTCTGTCTTCATATGTGGAATTAAAAAATGGTTGAAATAGTCGCCACCGCCATTCTACTTTCAATATTGGAGGGATTTCGGTAACAGCTCTAGGACGCATAACTTCTGATGGAAGTTTGAGAACATTCTGAAGTAGTAGAGCATAACTTTGAATTGTTTCTGAAACCATCAGATTTTTAGCAGTGATTTTTCCCTTTGAAGCAACTTCGTGAACCAGAGGTGATAGTATCCCTGTTGGCATCAGTTGCAATAAAATTCCCGTAAGATCCTTGATCTTGTCCTTGGGGAAAAGAAACCCATTAACCCTGTCATCAACCTACCAGTTACCAAATAAAACTGAAAACAGTAAGAAAAAAGTCCAAATATGTAAAGAAAAAATGAGAAAACAAGGGAATCAGTACACAAGCTCTGCCAGTAAATAGTTGAAGTGAAATATCAATGTGTTATTCATAAGTTCTAGATTCTGGCTTATCCTATCAAAATACATCTTGTGCTACAACCTAGAAATGTATGACCTTGATAGGTTGTTGGAGCTGGTAGCTTCCGAGAAAGTTACAAATGTTACTTAATCAAGGTAGATCAACAACCTAGGAGTGATCCAAAACACAATAGCAAGAACCTTCTAGTGATGGGCTACTTTTCCTTTTACGTATAGTGAGCTAAACTTATGCTCACTTTGAGTCATAACCTTTATCAGACCAAAGCAAACTCAGCAAGAGAAACATACGTATTTCTTTATCATAGCAAGATCTGGAGCAATGACAGGCTTCGCCATGGACATTGCTTTCATTATAACTTCTGGAAAAGATTGCTCCTCATTAAAGGACCCATATATCACAAGATCAGCTGCATTTATTACAGTGCTTGCATCTTCATCGACACCTTTGTGCTTCACAACACCACTTGGATAGTTCAACTTCGCTGCAATAGCCTATAGCCAGAAAATCATAATATATTTAATGAAAAATCCAGATATAAGTATTAAAGTGTACAGGAATGAACCCAAACAATACCTCTACAGCCATACTGTAGTTGCTGTTGGAGTTGCCACTTAAAACAATGATTTTAAGAGAACTGGAATTATTCTCAAGTGGGAAGGTGGAACATATCGGTAACAGAGCCTGTAAAACAAGTGCATGCTCAAGCCACAAACCCCTATATAGAAACTGGCTTCCAGCTACCACAATGACAGTGTCGTCAGACCTGTAACCCATTCTCATACGGTTCTCATTAGATAATGTGTTTGTAGCATCTAGTCCCCACGCTTCAGCAGGGGAACCAGGGACAACATAGTAGTTTCCAGCATCAAATGCTGCGTACATCATCTGCACAATATCCCAAATGATAATGTTTAAGTACTCATGCGAGTCATGCCAAGTCAGTGTTAGGTATTCAGGATAAGTATGAAAGCAAGGACGAGACATCCTAATTGGTCAACTCGTGCATCAATTTCAGAAATAATAGATTGGCACCAAGTAATTACCGGTAGCACGTGATTTGGGAACAAAATTACACTAGCGCGGTTGAAAACCTTTTTCCAATTTTCAATGAGGTCAGTCTGACCACTGGAATCATACTGCCTCAAACGAATAGCAAGCGTACTGTCACGGATGGTCCATATGAGAGGCACAGATTTGAATGGTTCCTGCATCAAACTGGAACAAGTGAAATCATCTGAGTTAATCATCCCAGATAAGGGCATCTTTAGTAAAATAGACTTGAGCATGGCCTATTTAGTGCAATAGATTTGAGCTATGATTTTACCCTTAAGTTAAAATGTAAATCAAGTACCCAGGGATCAAAAGCTTCTCATCATAACTTGAAGAATCTCTTACATAATCATGTAACCCACCGCTAAATTCTTGTAGTTACATTGTCTTAGGATATGATAATGAATCTTACCTAGAGATAAACTCCTTGGCTTCAAGAGAGTTTACAATGATGCCATCATAGCTGCAAATCGAAATATAAGTTGATATAGTTAGACAATACCAGAATCACTATGCTAAAGAAGAATTAGTCACTGGTTACTTTGACTAATCTGAAACCTTAAATGTTCATAATGAGAAATCAGTTCCGAATATTTTATCGAGCAGCTTACTTTAGCCAGTCAACCATAATATTTGTTTTCTCGTCTTTGAAAGTTGCGACTGGAACCCCCATGCTCTTCCAAATATTATGCACAGGACCATCCTCTAATGAGTATACCTGTCAAAAAACAAATTACAACCATGAATAAGAGGTATACAAATAGTGGCTCTGGTTACGGCATGCTACAAATAGCTCATATCCTTGTGCCAGGCTTTCTGCTAGCCAAGTGGAGCAGGGATTAAATATCTCAGGGGGCTTCAAGCTCAATTTTGTGGCTAATCGAAATTAGGTTTATTACTAAATGTTCACAAATCAAACTAGAAACCATTTGCAGCAAGAGAGAAGCACAGTAAAGTGAAAGCCTGAACTTATCATATGAAGTTTGATATACATTTGCAGAGAACTGGACAAGGGATCTAACAAGTCGAAGACTTAAACAAGCCACAAAGTTCGTTCAGGGGGCACCCAAAATTCTAAATTTGACTATACTAAATATAGACTTTTCTTTAGAATAACCACCTGAATTGAGTACCCCATCTCTTGCAATGCAGTTGCCACTGTAACCATAAGCAGCTGCTGCGGCTCAACTAATAGATCACTGAACACCTACAGGTTATTTAAACAAAATCAAACACGCTGGCAAAATGGCATAGCACTAACAAAGAAGTAAACAAAAAAAATTTAGCAGGATCATTGAAACAAGGAAAGCAAGATGAAGAATGAGTTGCGCAGTCAAAGAACCCAGCATAGCTGATGTTAACAAAAACAAAAAGATAAGCATTGATTGGCAAGCACATAGGCACTGACCAGGGCGAGCTGCGGCTTCCTGTTAGCGAAACGCTGCAATTGAGTCTTATTCGCCATGGACGAAGGATGGAGTTCTCTCTGAGCTTCCGTCTGAAACTTCTCTAATAGATGCGACGGCTTGAACTGGACATCTTCCCCAAAATCCAACCCACCAATTTGTTTCAGATAAGCGAAATCCCCGGAGAGCAAGTCAAGGTAAGTGGGCGAACCCTCCGATTTCTCAATGACAGAGCCAGGCAAGAACATCTGGAAGACAACGACAAAGAATAGGAAGACAGCGACTGTGCAAATCCATAGGAGGTAATCGAGCTTCTTGAGGAAGAAGAAACGGGAGAATCTTGATCTGGGTTTCTGCAGAAACAGGTTCCTCTCAGTTTTGCCGGCTGAGGAGGAACGGAAGAGACCCCCGTCCCTCTTGAGAGGAAGCCCCGACTCCAATGAACCCATTCTAGAAGACGAGCCGTCGTCTCATCGAATGGATCAGCCAGCTAGTAGCAGGCAGGACCCCAATAGTCAGACGAAGGAAATCTGTGCAGCTGAGGGAAATGAGAGTGAATAGAATGGGAGCCAAGCGACAGTGAGCTGGAGGAGCGTGGCTCTTCGGATTGCGAGGCGAAGGGGAGATGGCAATCACTGACCTGTGAGCTGCATAAATAAGAGATGACGGAGAAGAGCAGATGGAGACGGGAAAAGCGGAAAGAGGACTAAAAGAGACGGTAGTCTGTGAGGTAAATAAAAAGACGAGAAGAGTTGATTGGACGTGGATATGGCCGTGACTTTCTTTTACGATCAAACCAGGGACCGGATAGGCTGGAATTTTGCTAGTCTTCTCACTTTGCAGAGAAAGGTTGTCAAATCGGTTTATAACGTTGCGCCGGTTTAGAGGGTAGGGATGGCAATCAAATTTATGGTCGCCGGTATTCGACTGCCTCAATTAAGTCAACGCGGGAAATCTCCGCTTTGACCGGGTATGGGGCGGGTATGGGTAAAACCCGCAAAAAGTTTGATGGGTATGGGGTGAGTTTGGTTTTAGCCTCCCCCGCCCCATACTCATACCCATACCCGCCCCACCAAGAAAATTTCTTCATATATAAAAAATATGCGCATCAAATTATAATCTATCAATGATGACGAGGATAACTTGAGAAAATAAATAGTAAAATTTCAATTAAGTGACCATCTTAATCAAAACTTAATTCATTTCTCTCAATTCTCATTTCACTCTTTCACTTACCCCCTTGTCAACAAGATTATGTTAGTTAATTATTACTTAGTAGATGTATCAGAGTTAGAACATAATAATTTGAAAAATATTATACTCTATATTATGTATTAATGGATATTTTAAGATCATATTCTTTGAACCATATTAAAAAAATGACTGTGTTTTGTTGACTTCATGATATAATATGTTCGTTTAGGGTTATAATTAACTATCATTGATCTTGTTGGTATGGGTTTGGGTATTTGAAGATGGGGATGGGGATGGTTTAGGCAAACCCGCCCCAAACCCACCTCATTGTCATACCTATTAGAGGGTGGAATGGTACGATCATTGATATAATCGGTATGGGGCGGGTATGGGTTTGGGGCAGGTATGGGTTTGGGTATTTGAAGATGGGGATGGGGATGGGGATGGTTTAGGCAAACCCGCCCCAAACCCGCCCCATTGCCATCCCTATTAGAGGGTGGAATGGTACGATCATTGATATAATCGGTTTGTGCTGGTTCATGTCTACTTAATGAAATACGACATTCCATATAAAATAACAAATACTCATATTTAAATATAACATATAACGTTATTACTTTAAATTTATACCTAAATTCAACATATTACATCAAATTTTAATTTTTATATCCACAAAACATGCAATAAAATCATTTTTTATTAACTAAATTCACAAAAACGATGTCATTTTGCTTAGAGTCCGTTAATCGATCATGTTAGTCATACCCGTGGTGTTCATGCAGATTTCATGACCGACACCGGTTCCACCAGGTTCAACCGACCGGCATGCCATGAGCATGACAACCATGTTGTAGAGTTGAACATTTTATTTGCTAAATTACTTGGATGTTATTTGTGAGAGTGATTTACAGGTGGTCGAGGTTGTTATATCGGAGAAGTCCAGCCACAGCTCAAGCAATCTTTCAAGTCATCGTATTTCATAATCGAAAAACATAGCGACAGTCGACAGATAAGGCAATGATGTTCAAATCGGTTCTCAAATTTTACGGGGAGAATCATGGGCCACAAAATATCACGTTCATCAAGTTTCCGCACAATGAGAGCACAAATAGACCATGAAAGTCCAAGATTTTCATTGGGACTGGCGGGCCGCGACGAGCCCAATTTCGTTCAAGAGACTCTTAGAACCTTTTAGAAGCTTCCCAGCGTCTTTGAGAAAGATCTGAGTCCAAGAAGGTAGGTTTTGAGTGGGTATAAAGAGAGGGTATGGGTTCAGTTTTAAAGGTAATTGCTAATTGGTATTGCATGAGGTCAAAAGTATCTACATTTTGCGGTGAACTTCTACAAATTTCGTTTCCCTGAACTCGAGGGGTCGTTTGGAGGTTGGGATTTCAAGTGAGGTATTTAACCAATACATGTAATGGTAAGATTAAGTCGTTTTTTGGTTCAGTTTGAGTTACAATACATGTATTACCTTTTTCCTGGGCCCACCTATAATCACTCAAAATGAATGATTGTCAATCTCTACAAAAAGGTGAGATTGTTAACAATGGATTGTCTAGCCCATTTTTGCTCAATCATTGTACCTCCAAACAAAGTATTTTCTTAATATATGCATTGAATCAATACATCAAATGACAATACACAAATTGATTGAATACATCTATTTGGAGAATCTCAACCTCCAAACATGCCCTCAATAGTTTAGATTCACATGAGATAAGAGGAGCAACCATATTGGCGTACTCCTTCTAGATGTCGAGCTAAACATATTGTTTATGGGGTAGATCCTATGTGTATACATACTATTGAAAACATATTGTTGTTAAGTTCATGCTTGTTGTTTATCACACTTGCTTGCTTACCTTGATTATAATGCATGTCAAACGAGACATCGCACATGCATTGTAATTTTTATCGATGCCCTAATGCATTGAAAATAGGACCTCTCGCATGCATTAGTAAGTTGAAGATAATCCATGATTGTTCTCGGTGTGACGAGACTTGTGCCAAGACAATGACTAGTTCACCAAGTAAGCGAATAATCAAAGTTTTCTACCGAGTATTCTGCTAATTATATTAGAGCTTCATAACTATCTTGAGCATGATGAGATATCGAGTCCAAAATAGACATTATTAATCGCTGGCAGGAGTATGTCCCTTAGTAAGATTGAAGTGGAATAATTCACGTCACTCGATCTTAACTTGATGTGTTCTTCATCAAACAAAGTTGGGTGCACTAGGTGAAACTACCCTAAGCAACATACCCCTTACCTTGCTTTTAAACCGCTTTAAGCTACCGCTCGTTACTTGTTCATAGTAAACACAATATTTGGGGTACCTCACCCCACTTAAAGAAACTCTAAATAGTAGTATTATATCTAAAATAGAGACATTGTCCGAGGCCATATGGAATACGACCATAGATATTTGTTTATGTTAAAATTACTTAGTTGACATACTACAGTCGTCAAAAAGTTGGCGCAATTGTTGGTGAATCTATCTTTCGATTGAAAAGATATATATGTGTGTTTCATTCTACCTTCCATCATACACCTTACTAATTATTACTCTTTAGTACCCCATTTGTTCTTTCTTATTTAGGAAAAATAACCACTATGACTGAATTACATGTTGGAACAAGGATGGGTTTGTTCGCACTCTCGAATACACGCGACCTAGGGCATCCAACATCATGTCCAACAGAAATCCAAAAGCCACCACCATTAAGATACATGTGTCCTTGATCCGAATGGTGCAAAAGCTAGGCAATTCAATAAGTGAGAAAAGAATGATCATGTACAACATATTAGGTTGTTCCTAAATATCCGTGATACAATACAAAGTCCAAATGCTAACACAGATGTGATTAGGTTGTGCGCCTTACCCTAAATAATTCTTCCTACCATGGAGAATCGAAGACCTAAAGAAACAAATTGTTGAGTTCACCCAATAGGAGGAAGAACCATTTCATGAAAACAATGAGACTCCAAGAAATTATCCAACTTCTACGCATCACGAGTTTTTCCTCAAGCAGTTTGCAAATATCCTATATACGGGATTGATGATAAGACTACATTAAATATAAATCTAATATTCACCAGGGTACCACCCAACACATTATGGAGAAAGCCATGGAGCAATAGCGTCCTTGGGTAATGGGAGTAACTGAGCAAGTGTCTAAAAAGGTGAAGACCTCCCAAACAATCACAAGCAATACTCCACTCAGGATCCTGTGAAGGAAATGAGAAATCAATTGGCTATTATGGCCAAACAAATTGTTGTGCTGCAAGAATGCCTTGTCCTCTATGAACCCCATACGGTGGGATAGATGGAGATAATCTCATTCATAGCATAAAAACTTCTTGGGCATTACTAAGAACATTACCATAAAGGTATTACAAATGAGGCATTAATGTTACGTCATTTCCCTTTTCAGATTTGGTGGACAGTAGAATAGGTGGATTTCATCTTTCTGTCCAAATTCTTGATTTGGGACTACCTTAACCAAACATTCATGAAGGAATACCCTTCCTCAATGGGCAATGCACGTTAATGAGATCTATCACTTCATATAGAAGAATATTGAGCTCCTTTATTATGAAAGAGACCAATTTTAAAACCTACTTTGATCTCGATAACATTATGGAATAGGCCAAAATCAACTATTCAAATAACTTACCAGGGACTGAATAATAATATGCTTCAATGGATCTATCGCACAATCAAGGGAGAAGCATCTACACTCACAGTAGAAGAGGCATTGACAAATATCGCTTTTGCGCCCAGCTAGTTAAAAAGGAAGCCAGACCCCATATTATTATCCCAACCTTGGGAGGAAAAGGATCCAGAAAGTGAGGAGCACGCACTCGTGGGAAATGATATGGACATATTAGCCAAAGAGAGTGTAGAGGATTTTATTTTCATGCACAAGCAAAGAGTATGAAAAGGAGACCACTCTGGATGGATCAGAAAATGAGGGTTGAGAGACATTTAGGTTTTGCTTGGGCTTGTGTGGAGCTGGGGGCTGATTTTTCCTTCCCCTCCTCTATTAGGAGTTATGCAGATGAGGGCCTCGAATTTGGTATTGAGATTGAGTATAGCAAATTGCCTCCAGTATGTTCTAAATGTTGTCTATTTGGGCACGATTGTAATAAAACCCAGGAATCCAATCAGGTATGGGTGCCAAAGAAGTGAGGAGAGAAGATTGTTCATAGTGACGTGGTTAATATTGCTAGTGAGGTGGCTAAAGATACTATTATGAAGGATATAGAGGTGCCTTTAACTTCTAGTGTTGATGATGCTAGCGGGAAGGATGTAGCAAATGAGGAGGAGTATGTCAATTTGGAGACTACAACTAATGATATTGGTGTTTAGGGTGGTCAATGTTCCTTGTCTGATAAGGATCTGGTGCTTGTTAACTTTGAAGTGTTGGCTGAGCACCCCTAGTTGAAACTTCTTCAATTGGAAACGTACAAAAACAAATCAGAAACACCTTTTTTGCCATTTTTACTGTTTTTATGCATTTTTAACGTTTTTACAAACACTGTGTTTTTAAATAGAAACTGAAGCATTTTGCCTTGTAAAAAACGTGCATTTTTGCATTTTAAGATGCATTTTTTTACTACAT